AGTTTAGACCTGGTTTTAGTTTAGACCTGTTTTAGACTTGGTTTTAGTCTTTAGACCTGGTTTAGATCTAGTTTAGACCCGGTTTAGTCCTGGTTTTTAGTCTGGTTTAGACCTGGTTTAGATCTAGTTTAGACCTGGTTTAGTCTGTTTAGTCCTGGTTTAGACCTGGTTTTAGTAGTCCTGGTTTTAGACCTGGTTTTTAGTCCTGGTTTAGACCTGGTTTTAGTCCTGGTTTAGACTGGTTTTAGTCCTGGTTTAAACCTGGTTTAGATCTAGTTTAGACCTGGTTTTAGTCCTAGTCCTGGTTTTAGACCTGGTTTTAGTCCTGGTTTAGACCTGGTTTTAGTCTTTTAGTCCTGGTTTAGACCTGGTTTAGATCCTAGTTTAGACCTGGTTTTAGTCCTGGTTTAGACCTGGTTTTAGTCCTGGTTTAGACCTGGTTTAGACCTGGTTTAGTTTCTGGCAATGAGTGGAATTACTGGGGGGAAAAAAAAGGGAGGGATACAGCCCAAAATGTGAAAACAGGAAAACAAAAAAATACCGCCGTGTAATCGATTTATTTCAACAAAGTAACTGTAATCCAATTTCCACTCACTGAAACAGTAACTGTAACCGAATACAGTTACTCATCATTTGTACTCTGATTACATAACTCTGGTGTAATCCGCTGCCTGTGATAGAGGGTCACTTACTTGTTTCCTGTGGCATAAAATGTATCTATCTCCATGGAGACGATCATCATCGAGTTATGATCGGATCTGTGGACAGTAATGAGGCTTTTCATTGTACTCTAGAGCAATAAAAACACCAGGGAGTAAATAAATACAAGATTTAATGCCATAATGTGAAACACTCCTAGTAAAGCAATAACATCTCCATGGAGACAAAGTGGTGGCCATCAGAAAAGTTACAGAATTCAAGTCAAACTCATATCCACCAGGAATCAGATATGAAATACAAATGTGCAAAGATTTATGAACATTTGTGGAAATCCTGACAGAAATAAGGCAAAATGAGAGACTTTGGCATAAAACCTGATTAGAAGATTTGAAATGTAAAAATGAGTAAAGTTTGTGTTGTTAAGTGTAGACCAAAAGAGAAAAGTATAAGGAGCTCGACAGTCCCACACACTTTGAAGTCCGCTCCGGTTCTGGAAGCAAAATTTCAGTGTGTTTTTCCCAGAGACTTTTCAATAATCAAATATTAAAGATTCAAAGACATCACAGAGGCTTATAACCCGGCTGTTTTAAGACGTGTGTAAAGCTGCTTCTTCAGTTCAGGTCAGATGCTGGTCGACACTTCCTTATATCTGTTTGAAGGGAGGAGCTAACTACACTGAAACTACTCTGAAACCAACACACACATTTGTTTACAATTCTGTTTGTTAGTTAGACCTATTGATCTTGCGCTGAGTGTGTGGGCATATTAGCAGAATCATTCAGACTCAGACATCATTTATCTCCTATTTAAAAACTCCATCCTCAAACCTAAATCAAAACAAGCAAAGAAAACAACAGGGATAGTCAGGTCTGGTCCAGAGGTGTGAAGGATCTATTATGACCCTGAATTAGTGACGGGCGAATGGAGCCTCGTGAAGCATTGACTCCTCAGTCGCAATATTGTCTCAAATGGTTGGACGTGTCTGAGGCCTCGGAGAAACACTGACCTCTAGTGGACAAATTTAACCATTGGCACACAGGTGTCTCAGCATCGATGAAGTATTGTTAGTGTAAGACAATACTTGTGTGATGATTTAAAATAATATGTAAAGAGCAACATAAATAGCAGCTGTAAATAAGAAAATAGGTGTTATCTTGTTAGGAGGAATTAGATCAAAGTGATCTCAAACCATAGATCGCTTTTTTCCACTTGTAGATGCCATCGAAAATGAAACAAATGCCAAAAGTCGCCAAAAGTCACTAAAACCACCTCTAACGTCACACACTACTCCTCACTACCCAACATTTATAAGAAATATTGGTGCATCGTTTATACTGTAGCAGTTTTTGCACTTGTCAAACCTGAAGTGCGCTGAACACTCTGAAGCACTCTGAACCAATCACAGAGCGGAACATTCGCTGAGCCAATGAAACGCTTTGATACACTGAAGCGACTGACACGCAGAGTGAAGCAGTAGGGGGAGGGACCGACACTTCCACACTTTGGTCACGTGAGCGGCTGCTGCGAGACGAGCTCCGAGGCAGTGCTTCAGAACGATTTGTTTCAGAAAGAACGAGACGTGCTCCAGAGCTCCGACTTATTTGCCCGTCACTAGCCTGAATAATTCTGCTAATATGACCCCTCACCCTGTGCAAGTTCAATAGGCCTAACTAACAGAACTGTAACCAAGTGTGTGTGTTAGTTTCAGAGTAGTTTCAGTGTAGTTAGCTCCTCCCTGCAGACAGACATAAGGAAGTGTCCACCAGCATCTGACCAGAACTGAAGAAGCAGCTTGGATGAACTGCGAAATGTGTTCGACCAAATAAACTTTTGTCCAGTCGACAAATTGAATTTCTCCTCATGGTTTTAAGTCCAAAGAGCACTTTTAAAACACACGATTCTGTGAAATGTTTGAATAACTTGGCACAGGGGTTCATGGTTTATGAGGCTAAACCCTTTATCGTTATGAAAATGTTCCAAAGAACCTCTATAGTCCTCCACCATCACATCACAATCAAACCATGATTTTAACCACATTTGGATAAAAGATATAAAAGATCATTCTTCTTTTATCGGTGTTGTCAAAACCATAAAGTTTAAAATTGTCTTTAAATCAACAAAATGTTATCACAAGCATTGACTCAGCGGTTTATGAAGTTTCAGAAACAGATTTGAAATAAAAGTACAGGTCGTGTGGTCAGTAGTTCCACAGAGCTGACTAGTCCTGAGCTTTCACACTTTCATCTATGGGAAGATGAATGGGACATTTGTTTCCAGAACCAGACGGAGCTCCATAAATAATAATAAATGTGTTGATTCTGTGTCAGACATTCTCTTGAGACGTATTTTACAATTTGGGAGTGCACTGTAGAAAGGCTGCCTGAGAAAATGCAAGTTTAAGCCATTTAAATAATCAAATAAAATAACACACTTGATTTAATTTAAAATGTGTTGTGAAAAGTAAAAGCATTCAGTTTTGTTTAGATTTTCACTATATGGGCAAAGGGGGTGGAAAATACTGTAAGTAGTACTAGTAGTAGTAGTAGTAGTAGAGTAATAGTAGCGGTATAATAGTAGCAGCAGCAGCTTATTAACACTGTTTAAGATAAATAGTTGAATACTGGCCTTAATCTAAATGCAAAAACAATTGAACAGTTGCAGTTTAAAATAAAAAACACATCTGTAACCCTGAAACCAAAAACACCTTTAACTTAGTAATTCACATTGAAGAATAAAAAAATAAATAAGTTAAAAGTACAAAAATGAAGATGAATATATATTTTTAGCAATGATCATACAGAGTAAAACTAGTTGAAGTGAATGAGTTTGAAGCAGGCGAGTTTGAGATCTGTGATTTCAGCTTAAATACAAGAGCTTTGTTCAAACAGAAGAAACAAGGGTAAAAATCAGAAACCAAAAAGAGGCAACAGTTCATTGATAAAGCAGTTTCAGGAGAGACAGACTTTGAGTATGGCTCATGGTAAAGGAACCCTGCTCTCCACACTCACCTGTGCAGCCCTCTGAACTCACTTCTACTTTGATCTGGGACGAAGCTCAGTGAAACAGATCTGATCCAACGACTACAACGTTCAACCAAATACTTCACTCTGATTGGTCAAAGCGTCACAACAGCAGAGCAAGTCCAAAAGTCAAACTGTAGTTTGACTCCAGATGAGAAAAAAAGCCCAGACATCTTTCCTCCACAGACACACAAACCTCTTTCACCTGCTGTCTGTCTCTAACTAAACAGTGTTACTGATCAAACAGAGTCAGTTACTTCTGTCTGTGTTTCCATCTTTGTTTTAGTTCTTTTGGCGCTGGCTTTGCCCAAGCCACAGTGCTGTGCTCTGATTTGTCAGTCACAAGGAACTCTTCATCTGGAGCCCAACAAGACGATCCTCAAGAGTCTCACAAACATCCTGAGAATTCACTTTTCTGGAGGCGAGTTCAGCTCCTCTATACTGGTCTGTACTGGTCTGTACTGGTCTGTACTGGTCTGTACTGGTCTGTACTGGTCTGTACTGGTCTGTACTGGTCTGTACTGGTCTGTACTGGTCTGTCTGACTGGTCTGTACTGGTCTGTCTGGTACTGTCTGTCTGGTCTGTACTGGTCTGTACTGGTCTGTACTGGTCTGTCCTGGTCTGTACTGGTCTGTACTGGTCTGTACTGGTCTGTACTGGTCTGTACTGGTCTGTCTGGTCTGTACTGGTCTGGTCTGTACTGGTCTGGTCTGTACTGGTCTGTACTGGTCTCTGGTAACTGGTCTGTACTGGTCTGTCTACTGGTCTGTACTGGTCTGTCTGGGTCTACTGGTCTGTACTGGTCTGTACTGGTCTGTACTGGTCTGTACTGGTCTGTACTGGTCTGTACTGGTCTGTAACTGTCTGTACTGGTCTGTCTGTACTGGTCTGTCCTGGTCTGTCTGGTCTGGTCTGTACTGGTCTGTCCTGGTCTGTACTGGTCTGTCCTGGTCTGTACTGGTCTGTACTGGTCTGTACTGGTCTGTACTGGTCTGTCCTGGTCTGTACTGGTCTGGTCTGTACTGGTCTGTACTGGTCTGTACTGGTCTGTACTGGTCTGTACTGGTCTGTCCTGGTCTGTACTGGTCTGTACTGGTCTGTACTGGTCTGTACTGGTCTGTACTGGTCTGTACTGGTCTGTCCTGGTCTGTACTGGTCTGTACTGGTCTGTACTGGTTTGTACTGGTCTGTCCTGGTCTGTACTGGTCTGTACTGGTCTGTACTGGTCTGTACTGGTCTGTACTGGTCTGTACTGGTCTGTACTGGTCTGTACTGGTCTGTACTGGTCTTCTTATGGTCTGTACTGGTAATGATTCTTGATCAGAATGCAGAGCAAAGGTATTAGAGCTATAATCATTATTCACTGTTGCATCTACACTACTTTATATGCAGATATAATTGCTGTTTAAATAGAATATTATCTAATGTATTTATCAAAACATATTCCAGACCAAGTTTAAACCAGATGTTCCATTAGTGAGGTCTTCAGTTTGAATGGCACATTTTTAGTAAAAGTTTTGGCAGCTCAAACTCGAATGGCACAAAACACTGTAAACAAAAGAATAAGAGCCATAGTCAAAGTCTGTCTGTGGAATCAATAAGATTAAACCTTGTGTGATCATTTAATATGTTTAAAATGATCCGTCTGCTTCTTCCACTGTAAAAGGTCCTTTATGTTGGCACAAATTCACCTGTTCCTCCTGGAGCTGCTGGTTTGCAGAACTTCCTTCAGAAGTGTGAGTTTTGACACTGTTTTGTCCTAATAACCTTAAACACATCATCAGTCCAGTGGTGAGACTAAAATGCCTCTAAAATTTAAGTCGTAGATGGAAAAGCTTCAGTTTTCCTTCAGATCTTGTTTGAAAGCGGCTCTGAATGCATCACTGAGCAACATGTGATGACGTCATCGTTTCAGATGGAGGACGGGGCCTATGACTCTGTGGGAGATTCACTGTTTTTGGAAGAAATCTCCAAACTTCTGATCCACAAATGTTTCTTCTTCTCATAGACTTCATACTTTTCATATTAATCTTATGGCTTAAAGTCCTTTCATGTGACACCAATCACGTCTTCAGAGTGGAATAATGGCTCAACTTTCTGAAGCTCTTGTGAAAAAATAGTTTGTCTTTTGTTTATTTATACTGACAGAGAAGACTTTGAATTTTGTGCCAGGTTTTGTTTCGTGTGGATAGGCTCAGTAAAGACAGAGATATGAACCATAGACCAGGTCAACAAATCTGCATCTGACAGCTCCACAGCAGACTCCACCACAGAGTCCTGACCCGTCCTCCAGCTCAGGTTAAAATATGGCAATTCTAATGTTGTCGCAACTCATACTTGAATTAATAGTGGTTATTTTATTCCAGAAATGCATCAAGAATTCTCCAGAAAGTCCCGTTACGATGAAGGCTATTGGCACAGAATCCTCCTCTTCCACCTCCGCTCAATCCACAAGGCTCTGAGGTCAAAGACGAGCTCCTCTTCCTTCACTGCAGTAAGTCTCTTATTCTTCTCTTAAAGTGGCAGTAACCTCTCGCAAACACAAGATGGCGCTCTCCTGGTTTGCGCTCTAGAGTTTCATGCACCTCAAAGGCCCCGTATTACACTGTTCTCTGATCTCTGTTCTGATGTAGCCTCCTCGTCACAAACAGACCTGGAGCTGTGTTTTTGTTTCAGTCACACATGTTTAACACACAAACCCTGCACATTTAGGAGTTCCTTGTTGCACCTTGTGATGTCATGTGGTAAAACAGGAAGTACCGGCTTGTGTGGCCATACCTCCGTAGCAAAGTCTGATCTCAGAAGCGCAGAAGTAGGGGTGTGCAATATTGAAATTAGTGCTGTCAAGCAATAAAAAAAAATTGAGAGATTAATTAATTATGATCTGTAATTAATTCATCTAATTAATCTCTTTTTAATCTCACCTAAAAATTGCTGAGAAAAGCTTCAACTTGAGGTATTTTCATTTGAATTCATTATTACATTATTTTCATACTATCATTAACGTTTTTATATAAGTATCATCATCATTATTACTATTACTAATCTGCATAAATAAACTCAACTTTACAACATATAAACCATCACCACTAGAGCCACATCAGCCCGTTTGACATTATGATGTGTTTAATGCAGATTTGTGCAAGTCTCACAGAAACTAAACTTAAAACCACATGGCTCATTTGCATAAACTAAGTGGAGAAAAAGAAAGAAAAAAAAAAACGCTCTTGTGTCACTGATGCGGTTCAGCTTCTGTTGGACTTAAGGACACGACTCAGTGGAATATAGATGTTCTTTCTATGACAGAGGGATGTTCTGCTGAAGGTGAGTCTGTTCTGTGTTTGTGTCACGATGTTTTCAGATCAGACATGTGCAGGTTTATCACAGATGCGACAAGAACGGGAATGAAAATTACAATTCTTTGTGGGAGCGAACGGAGCAGGACTGTCTAACAACAGATAAAAACAGATTTTATAATAAAGCAACTCACATACAGAAACAGTAAAGTTAGAGATTAAAAATAAGATTAACACGATTAAAAAACATAACGCGCTAAATATGACTGTAATTAATTACAATTAATTATCGCAATTAACGCGATAATTTGACACCCCTAATTGAAATATCGAAATATCGTACCGTTTAATGTGATAATACAGTATCGATATCGTGGGCTGCTGTATTGATATATTGTCAAAAGTGTTGGAGACACTGGAAAAATCAGGAGCCACAGAGGGCTGCCAGTCACAAAAAATGTTGTGTCCTTAGGCAAGGCACTTCACCCTCATTGCCTAGTATGAAAGTGGTGTGTGTGTGAGTGATGGTGGTGGCCAGAGGGACCAGTGGTGCAGATTGGCAGCCTCGCTACAGTAGTAGCTTACTATGACATAAGAAAGCTTTCAGAAATATCCATATGCATAGAATAGAAATCCATGTATATTTAGGTGAACCAGTGGGTAAAAACAGTAATGGTACAACAACGAGCTACAACAGCTGAGGAACAGGTGGGTTCATTACAACTGACCTGCACTGCTACAACTTACACTGCCACAGAGACACAGTGATGCATGTGCAGTCTTCATCTCTTGATGTTTCTTCTGCTCAGTAAATAAAGCCTGTGAAGTGATGTTGTATTTTTGACAGTCGAGTCTGTGGATTCGTGTTCGTACTGAAGAAAGTGTAATCATAAATTTTCATTTCATGATTGTAATTCTTAATGTTGTAACTTTTCAATTTGTATTCTGATGGATAAAATACACACAGCACATTTTATGTATGACTGGACTCATTTGAGAGTTTATGAAGATGCACACAGATTTCTATTCTATGCACATGAATATTTCTGAAAGCTTTCTTACTCCATGTCTTACCACCACCGAGTGTGGAGCAAATGAAGAATGATCTGTAAAGCGTCTTGAAACCTGAACATGAAAAATACCACTTCATGACATCACAAGGTGGGACAGAGCATGATGAGTTTTGGAGATGTAGAAGTGTTACTCAAACATGTGTGAATGAAACAAAACACAACTCCAGGTCTGTTTCTGAGGAGGGAACAACATTAGAACATGTTTAAAGCTCACAAGACTCCACTCTGTGTAATGTAAAACCTTTAAGGGGCACTTCAGAACTTTTCCAGTTTGTCTTGGTGGAAAAGTGATTACTTTGTCTGGAATGTTCCACAGTAAGACATGAAAAATGATTCATCTTGCATTTAGTCAACTACAGAAGCAAGGCTTTGGGGCGACCTCTCCACAGATCTGACCTGTAACTTGGCCATGCTCGTGATGGAGGTAGATGCGTTTAATGCCTTACTGTGGAACATTCCAGGTAAAGCAACAGCATAGGCATCGGCCCCGTCACCAAAACAAGGTGGCATAGTGCAGTTTTTAAATCGCGGTTAAAATCAAGTTAAAATTTGTTGTCCTTGTAAGAAAATTGATCCTGTGCATTTGACCCGTCCTTCAGTGTCTCTGGGTTAAACCTGTCAGGAGCAGCGGGGCCATCTCCAGATCTTCCTTCTAGAGAGTGGCCAGGACTCGAGAGAAGGAGATGATGATGGACAGAGTGGTCTGACCCGCGCCGAAAACCAGAGCCTCCATCGGTGCCATGTCTTTACCGGCCACACGGTAAACTCCAGCTACCGCAGCACCTAGAGGACAGACGAGAGGGTCAGAGGAGGGACGAGAGGGTCAGAGGAGAGACGAGAGGGTCAGAGGAGAGACGAGAGGGTCAGAGGAGAGACGAGAGGGTCAGAGGAGAGACGAGAGGGTCAGAGAAGAGAGGAGAGGGTCAGAGGAGAGACGAGAGGGTCAGAGGAGAGACGAGAGGGTCAGAGGAGAGACGAGAGGGTCAGAGAAGAGACGAGAGGGTCAGAGGAAAGAGGAGAGGGTCAGAGGAGGAGAGGGTCAGAGGAGAGACGACAGGGTCAGAGAAGAGACGACAGGGTCAGAGGAAAGAGGAGAGGGTCAGAGGAGAGAAGAGAGGGTCAGAGGAGCAGAGGAGAGGGTCAGAGGAGGGACGAGAGGGTCAGAGAAGAGAGGAGAGGGTCAGAGGAGAGACGAGAGGGTCAGAGGAGAGACGAGAGGGTCAGAGGAGAGACGAGAGGGTCAGAGGAGAGACGAGAGGGTCAGAGGAGAGACGAGAGGGTCAGAGGAGAGACGAGAGGGTCAGAGGAGAGAGGAGAGGGTCAGAGGAGGGACGAGAGGGTCAGAGGAGAGACGAGAGGGTCAGAGGAGAGACGAGAGGGTCAGAGGAGAGACGAGAGGGTCAGAGGAGAGAAGAGAGGGTCAGAGGAGAGAGGAGAGGGTCAGAGGAGAGAAGAGAGGGTCAGAGGAGAGAGGAGAGGGTCAGAGGAGAGACGAGAGGGTCAGAGGAGAGAGGAGAGGGTCAGAGGAGAAAGGAGAGGGTCAGAGGAGGGTCAGAGGATGAAGAGGATGTAAAGGATGGAGATCAGATGGAGAAAAGGGTCAGAGGAGAAGACGAGAGGGTCAGAGGATGTGGAGGAGAGGGTCAGATGGTGAAGAGGAGGTCAGAAGGAACAGAGAAGGCAGAGGAGGGGGTCAGAGGAGAAGGGGAAAGGGTCAGAGGAACAGACGAGAGGGTCAGAGGAGCAGAGGAGGTTGAGATGATGCAGAGGAGCGCAGGTTCTCACTGGTGATGACGGCGCCGCACAGGGAGCAGACGAAGCCCACGCTGATGAGGACCACGGTGATGAGACGTCCTCGCTTGTGTCTCTGCAACATGACGAACATGAGGAGCCCCACCGCCCCGTGGACGAAGAGCGACGAGAAGAGAGTCCACAGGAACACCCAGTACCACATCTCTGCAACGCAACACACACGACACATCACACACTGCAGATACACAACACACACGACACATCACACACTGCAACTACACAACACACACGAGACATCACACACTGCAGATACACAACACACACGAGACATCACACACTGCAGATACACAACACACACGAGACATCACACACTGTAACCACACAACACACACGACACATCACACACTGCAGATACACAACACACACACACGAGACATCACACACTGCAGATACACAACACACACACACACGAGACATCACACACTGTAACTACACAACACACACACGAGACATCACACACTGTAGATACACAACACACACGAGACATCACACACTGTAGATACACAACACACACGAGACATCACACACTGCAACTACACAACACAACACACACGACACATCACACACTGCAACTACACAACACAACACACACGAGACATCACACACTGCAGCTACACAACACACACAAGACATCACACACTGTAGATACACAACACACACAAGACATCACACACTGTAGATACACAACACACACGAGACATCACACACTGCAAATACACAACACACACAAGACATCACACACATATGGATTCGTCCATCTCAACTGAACTAAAGGTAAAAGGAGCTGGGAGCATTTAGAACTTTGGAGATGTAAACAGAGAAATAATAAAGAGTTTCTCAAACATGTATGAATGAGACAAAAAAAATCCAAGTTTTTTAGGCGGTAACTATTGGCTTAAAGCTTGCAGGAGTCAGTTTTGTGTTGTATAATTTGGCAGATTTGTATTAATTGCATGTATTTTTGTGTGTATCAGATGTCCTTCCTCTCACAATTGGCCACTATGAGTTTGAATTGCAGAATCTCCACAGTCCTGTAATAATAATCAGTGAAATCCGACACGTGCAGATGAGGAGGAAATGACTCAACTCAATGTCACTGATGCTGCAGTGTTGTAAACTTCAGTTCCTCATACAAATCTACTTAAACACTTCCGTCTTGATGAAGTTTCAAAACAAGGCCAAAGTTCAGCTCTAGTATAATTCTCTTTCTTCCTCTTTTTTGTACGCCTGCAGTTATCTTCAACCAAAAAATAAGAATCCTATGAACAGTTTGCAGCCTTTATATTCTGACTGGGATCAAATGAATATTAGAGCTGCAGACGAATAAAGACGTGACTAAACACAGACAAAACAGACAAGACTCTCAGTATTTCAGATCTATAGCCTATGCATCTGACCAGAACTGCACTCACAAGACTACACCTGCAGGGGGAGCTCACCCAAAAACTACAAAAGTACTAGGAAACAAGTGTATTTGTATTGAGACAGATTCAACTTTGGAATGATGAGTTTAATCAGATTTTTTTTTTTTTCCCTAATGCCTCCGCTCAATTTCATTTCTATCCAGCGACTAGGTCAGGAATCAGTAAACACTAGACGGTTTGTAAGAACTCCAGAAGTGCGAGTCCAGGCACCAGCCAATCACCGAAGAGACAGACATTCTGTGTTGTCAATGATTCCTGAGCTCGAGGATTTAAAGCAGGAACAAAGAGAATGTTTGGTGAATTTTATCAAGGGGAAAGACGTGATTGTCCTTCTTCCTACGAGATTTGGGAAAAACTTAGCGGCACATTTACATACATCAACCAAGCAACGACCAAATAGCAGCAATTGGTTAAATAAAAAAAGTACCGCCTACCGTCGAGCGAATGAATGCTTAATGCTGCAAAGTCAGACAGTTTCCATGAAGTGAAACCGTCTGACGAATCAGGCAAATTGAAATCCTGACCATCTAAAGAAAATGAATGTTGACAAATACATATTTTGGTCGAACTAAGACCCGATTAATCGACAAAACTAAAGCTAAAGTTTCAGTGAATACAGGTTAAATTCAAACTGATGTGATCAAAATTCTCTTGAGGTGTGATACAAACTGTCTGAAGTTCTGTTAACTGAGTTAGACCTTAACCTGAGCTTTGTTATACACAATCTGTCCAGAAAGAGCAGACTAAACTGGAACTACAACACGTGAACTGATTTTTTCAAGTCATTAGCCAACAGTTTTTCAGTTAGTCACTGGGTGTTTCTCAATTCCCCAAGATCCTTCCTCCACAGAGCACTTTGTAGCACTTCTCCAGAGTTTGAATTATGCAAAGTTGGAGCAGTTTTTTCTCATTACTGCACTGGGATCTGTTGATATCGGAGATCCTTAAAGCCATAGTAACGACATTGGTATTGGAACTGAGAAAGCTGGATCGGTACATCTTTAACCCTTATATTGTGTCCGTGTCAAAATTGACCCATTTTCAAGTTTAGTTATGTAAAAACTACCATTTGCTTTTTTGTACCGGAATGAGGCTTCATCTAATCCTCAGACACAACTATTTTAAGGCAACAAAATTCATTTTCACCATTTTAGTAAATTGTAAAGGTCTGAAAAAAAAAAGTGACATTTGTGGTGTTAGGGGTGAAAAATGACCCGGTAGAGAATAGTGGCTGTTTTATGCATCACTTACTGCTCTGTGGATCAAATATGGCTCAGTGTGCCCCACAACACACACACACACACACACATACACATACACACATACAAACATACACACACACACACACCCCGACACACACACACACACACACACAGGCCCCCTTCACCACATCTCCACAACATCAACTCAAACTTTCTCATAGAATCTAGATACACACACACACACGCAGACACACACACACAACTGAACTCTTCTCTTTCTTGCAGCACATTGATACAGTTTGAATCAAAAATAAACCTTGTCATATATAAACAGGGTTTAGTGAGATATTATCAGCTGTATCTGTTGCAGCATCAGTCCATGAGCAGGTTCACTGTTTATGAGGCGCTGGATCAGATTTTTGGTCATGACAGTGATTCTGAAGACAGAGAGGAAAGTGAAGCTGAGGAAGATGTGTCTGAGGATGAGGATGAGGGCACAGACTGAATAAAAGAAGTGGACTAAGTGAGAGTGACGTCACCCACAGCGTTTGGCGCCGCTCAAATGAAGCTCACAATGCTCATGAGTTACAGGACGAATCTAGAGCCAGGTTATATGTTATGAACAGGATTTTTTGGACAGACAAAATAGCCAAAAAAAAAAAAAATCTGGATCATGTGTCGCAGGTTAATACGTATATTTTAAGATGAAAATGCTGAGGTTCACAGCAGCAGGTACAGAGAGAAGACGACAAGATCCTAACATAAGTCAGAAGGAGCCAGAAGAGCCTCCTGGAGAACTTCCTATTTGTAACGCGGCGGCAACAGTATTAGTTATGTCCATTCATATATACGTCTGTGGATGAGGATGAGGTTCAGTATGACCCTGAACAAGAGCACACATGTGGTGAGGAGAACCCAGATGTCACAAAGACTGAAAGAGACGTCTCCAAGTCAAGAAAAGGTGATATTTCACGGTCATCAAGCCTCTTGACACCCAATATAATTATACTTATATAAATTAGATTTATATTATATGTATTATGTATAATATTATTATGATTATAGTATAATTATATAATATAATTATTAATGTTATCACTATAGGAAATATAATTAGTGAATTTAAACAGATTTTGTAATAAAAAACGAGTGGTATATTTTAAGATAAAAGGTCTGTGGAGCCAAAAAAATAATAATAATAAATAAATAAAATTAAGTGTTTCCATGGATATGAACACATACTAAGTTAGTTATGAGGTGAAAAACAATATTAGATGATAACTAGTGTTTTGAACTATTTTCAGGCTCAAATTTGACCCGGTAACACTAAAGACACGTGTAGCTTTCTAACACAATATGAGGGATAAGTGAGTCATAAATGTCTTGCTTCAGACCATAAAATTAGTCAAATGTGCATTCAGTCGACCACAACCTCACTGGTACAAGTAAAAAACAACAATTACACAGAAAACCACCAAGTAGCTCAAAAGAAATAACAATCTCATATTACACTTGCAAATCTCCTGCTCACTCTTTCCTTGTCTTCTCAATTTCACTGTGGTCCATATAAATACTTCAAAACGCATATGAAATAATGAGTCAGTTCTGTTGAATAACATCATTAATCAGCAATTAATGATGCTGATTAATGATTTCATGATTTCAGCCCTCATCAAAGTCAAATTTTTTACAAATATAAAGTGTTCAGAGGTGATTTTCTGTGTCACAGGCATTAAAACATGTGAATAATAAATAGGCTGAACATTAGCCTACAGAAATAAATAGGCTGAAATATTTTTAGATAAAAGGTTAATTGTATTCCATATCCTTTTCTTTAAGAGATTTTGCTGCATTTGTCCTGATTTGAATTCTTTCGGTCAGATAACACTGTGATCTGCAACAATGTGACTAAAATAGCAAAATATTTACTTCTTTTTTTATTATGGAATGAGTTTTATTTTATTAAACTGCACTTTACTGCTTAAATAAAGTTCATAAAAAGTGAAATTGCAGTGCACTGTGGGCAAATTGCAAAAAAACAAAACAAACAATATCTATACAAGTTAAAATGACTTAAATTAAGAACATTTTACTTTATTTGAGTAAATTCAACTTGACAAGTAAAATGATCAACCAGTGTTTTTCTTCATTTGAGCAATACTTGATTTTGTCTCTTGTTTTAAGTGCAAAAAGTTGTTGTTTTTCTTATTTCAAGTGCAGCAAGATGTATTTTCATATTTTAAGTACAAAAAGTCTTGTTCCACTGGCAGATCATTTGACTTGTCAAGTGAAATTGATTCAAATCATGATGAAACTTTCTTAATTCACGTCATTTTAACTTGGCTAGATTTTATTTTTTGCAGAGCACAGGTGCATCCTGAGTAAAAGAGGCAAACAGAGAAGTGGAGCGAGGAGGACGTGAGGGCTCTGGGAGAACTGGAACGGCACTTGGTGGAGCTCTGAGGATGTAGATCTGTCTGAAGTGGTTCAGAGGCCGAGGATCCTGGGAAACACCTCC